ATACAAAACATTCATCTCGCCGAAAATGTTCATGATTCCGCTAAACTGAGAAAGTTCACACATGATTTATCATCTCATAACACACATCAGCTCTCTGCAATGCAGAAATGCTCGAATTGAAGGGGAAAATTCAGGAGTTATTGATGAGAAAAATTCAGGAGTTATTATGTCGCCCCGAACGAAGTCGGGGACGACATATTGATATTGTACGCATGTTTTTTTTATCCAGGCTGTTTCTCGGAGATGGCTGGGACAATCTTCCTGAAACTTTCCTCAAAGGACGATCACTGGTTGTAGTTGTGCAGTGAGGTCGTTCAGTTCCAATATGTCTACCGTTGCCATGGAAACCTCTAAAAAGCGACAAATTTTGTCCGAGAGTGTTCTCTCTGGTCCCTTAAACGTTCGTCATGAAACTTTTCTTATTTTAAGGATTAGTATCTGTAGTTCTGCAACTCGTAATTAAAATTTTCATATAATCGATTATTGCCATGGAAACCAGGTGAAAGTAAAAATTCTTTAATTTCGATTTTCTCAATAACTACTCAGGCAATCGTTTTGAAACTTTCAATGTTTATTCCTTGCAATGTGTCAAAGTGATTTCTACTTTCAAAATAATTGTAATGAGTCGCTCACGGTTGCCATAGAAACGAAACAGAAAAAAAGATTCAGATGTACACATGTGTTCTCCAAGGTCTAGGTCAAAGGGTCAAAGTTCGTCGTATCCAATAAAAGTTCTTTTCACAAGGATTACATATTTGAAATACGAAAGCCCTAGTACTTACCGTTCAAACGTTATGGCTATTTACTATGTTCAAGACGACCCCCCCCCCTTTTTTTTGAAGCACACAGCCAAGTACAATACACAGATATAACATATACAACTTACAAGTAACTTTTTAAAATCTTCATTCATAAAATTCAGTTCCCGTCATGTGATATTTTGCCATCATTCATTCTCCTTCTGTTTTGTCTCTTGAATTTATAAATATTTTATTTTATCTATATAAAAAAAAATAACGATTGTCAGCTGCATTTATTATCATTTCGCGTTTTCTTGTATATCTATCACTTGTATATTATTCATTTCATTAGATAGTGCAAGTATAAATTAAAAAATTGGTACGTCATTTCCATAGTTTTTATTCATTCATAAATTCTTTGATCCGCTCCTGATGGTTCGCAAAGCCTTGATCACCACTGTATACAAAACATTCATCTCGCCGAAAATGTTCATGATTCCGCTAAACTGAGAAAGTTCACACATGATTTATCATCTCATAACACACATCAGCTCTCTGCAATGCAGAAATGCTCGAATTGAAGGGGAAAATTCAGGAGTTATTGATGAGAAAAATTCAGGAGTTATTATGTCGCCCCGAACGAAGTCGGGGACGACATATTGATATTGTACGCATGTTTTTTTTATCCAGGCTGTTTCTCGGAGATGGCTGGGACAATCTTCCTGAAACTTTCCTCAAAGGACGATCACTGGTTGTAGTTGTGCAGTGAGGTCGTTCAGTTCCAATATGTCTACCGTTGCCATGGAAACCTCTAAAAAGCGACAAATTTTGTCCGAGAGTGTTCTCTCTGGTCCCTTAAACGTTCGTCATGAAACTTTTCTTATTTTAAGGATTAGTATCTGTAGTTCTGCAACTCGTATTTAAAATTTTCATATAATCGATTATTGCCATGGAAACCAGGTGAAAGTAAAAATTCTTTAATTTCGATTTTCTCAATAACTACTCAGGCAATCGTTTTGAAACTTTCAATGTTTATTCCTTGCAATGTGTCAAAGTGATTTCTACTTTCAAAATAATTGTAATGAGTCGCTCACGGTTGCCATAGAAACGAAACAGAAAAAAAGATTCAGATGTACACATGTGTTCTCCAAGGTCTAGGTCAAAGGGTCAAAGTTCGTCGTATCCAATAAAAGTTCTTTTCACAAGGATTACATATTTGAAATACGAAAGCCCTAGTACTTACCGTTCAAACGTTATGGCTATTTACTATGTTCAAGACCCCCCCCCCCCCCTTTTTTTGAAGCACACAGCCAAGTACAATACACAGATATAACATATACAACTTACAAGTAACTTTTTAAAATCTTCATTCATAAAATTCAGTTCCCGTCATGTGATATTTTGCCATCATTCATTCTCCTTCTGTTTTGTCTCTTGAATTTATAAATATTTTATTTTATCTATATAAAAAAAAATAACGATTGTCAGCTGCATTTATTATCATTTCGCGTTTTCTTGTATATCTATCACTTGTATATTATTCATTTCATTAGATAGTGCAAGTATAAATTAAAAAATTGGTACGTCATTTCCATAGTTTTTATTCATTCATAAATTCTTTGATCCGCTCCTGATGGTTCGCAAAGCCTTGATCACCACTGTATACAAAACATTCATCTCGCCGAAAATGTTCATGATTCCGCTAAACTGAGAAAGTTCACACATGATTTATCATCTCATAACACACATCAGCTCTCTGCAATGCAGAAATGCTCGAATTGATGGTGGCATGTCAGATTCGTTTTTCGGTAGAACCTCTAAAATGAAAGTGAAAGAGGGAAATTTCAGAGTTCCCACTGGCGTTACAATACACAAAATAATTCGGCTGATCTTCTTCATAAATTACATTTCCCAAGCTTTTATGATAGGAAAGATACTGCCAATTAACAAGTATGAGGCTCAGTTCAGTACATCTGCCAGATTTCGTTTATGCAAGTCTGCAAATTGAGGAACTTGTAATTTTCCTGCACTACTTTCTTCTCCTACCGATTCTAAAAATAATGAGAGGGATGTACCGAATTAAGGTCTTCCGTTTCCAATGGAAAGGACTGATATAATTCAAAGGTTTTCAAACTTAGCTTATGGACTTTTGTTTTAGTGATGATAAAAATGAAAGTCTTGTCTAATACGGGGCGACATATGCTATTGCTTGCAATAGCAGACTTTCTAGTTATTATTATTTTTCTTCTTCTTCTTCTTCCTGGGTACTTTTTTGTCCGGGAATGATCTCTTAAACTATACATCCGACTAAGGTGAAATGTTTTTAGGGTCAGTAGACATGTTATGTAGATTTGCGGAACGAAGGTCATTTTGCGCGCACGTGCTTGCAAGAGCGTGCACGTGCAACATGTGAAATGACCGATTTAATTGATATAGGCGTAACTTTTAAAATTTTTGATGAAATGCTTTGAAACCTATAATATAAGGATATATTAGAAGCATAGACAATATGACATGGTCAAAATAGCAAGATCTCACGCGCATGCACGTGCGCTTTGCTCTGATTGGCTGAAACTAAAGTCTCAGTATCTTTCTTGTTTTTTGACGAAATCCTTTGAAATTTTGAAAATTGCCATGCATTAGGATATCCTACAACATGATATGTAGCAATTATCATGAAAACACGTGCATGCACGTGCGCTGCAATCTGATTGGCTTAAACTTTAAATAGCTATAACTCCCTTGATTTTCAACCAAACAGGATGGGATTTGGAACGTAGATAGATATACTGGACTACTACAAGAAAATATGGTCACCATGCACATGCATACACGTGCATGTACGTGCGCTGCAATCTGATTGGCTGAAACTTTTAACAGCTATAACTCCCTTGGTTTTCAACCAAACGGGGTGAGATTTAGAACATAGATAGATGTAACAGACATCTACAAGAAGATATGGTTACCATGCTCATGTACGCACGTGCGTGCATGTGAAATGAGCAAAATAAAAAAAAAACACTTGAATGAGCGTATCTTTTTAATACTTTTGGATTAAATACTTTAATATTTAGTATATTAAAATATATAGATTGTGTAGACAAGATGATATGGTCATTACGCACATGCATTCACAGGCGCACGCGTGCAATGCTAAAATTTGAATGAACTTGTACACTTCTGGGTAAACGTTGTTAAAGTCTCAAATGCATCAAAGAATCGGGAAATCTTTTTTGAAGCTTTCATTTTGAGGGAAAAAAGAAGTTGAGAGTTTGAAAGCTATCTGTTTCTAAACGTGAACTTAATGACAATCTCCAAATTGTTTTTGATGACATCTGAAATCACTAAAAAGTAGTAAAATATAAATAAATAGTGCCTGTTTTTTAGGGTAACAGTTGACCATTAAGGCCCTTGACATTTTGTATTCATTTGTATTTTTTTTTTCCTTTATTTTTCTTATGTTAAGTTTGCATGGGTAAGAATTTATGTTTTGTTTCTTTCATTTCAGTTTCTTTTAATTTAAAGTTTAACCAATTTTGTTGGTAAGATTATTATTTCTTTTCTTTTTCCATAGATTATTTTAGTTTTTTCATATAATAAACAGAGGTTTATTTCATAGTGAATTATTAAATAATTTTCATTTTATTTATATACACAAAAATATTGATTTAAAACTCAACAACTGAGGTATAAATTCTCAAGTATGACAATCTTATGCTTATTTTGATGGATCCTCTAGGACTTTGAAGATGTGCAGAAATTACTGACAGAGTTATCCTCTCCTGGTAGCGACTTTCCCGTATGAACGCCTGCACGTCGCAGAGGTTCGGAAGCTTCATCCTCAATTCAAGTCGAGTCAGAACACAGCTTCCTAAAATCAGGTGAGTAACCAATGGGAAAAACTTTTAAAAAATTTAACTCCCCCAAAAAAATTTTCAAGTGAATGGAGTCCTTTGAATACAGCAGTGATATTTAATAAAATTTTGATATTACTTTATTTGAACAAATTTTAAATTGGAAAGTATAAAAGGAAAAAATCTGGAAAAGAATGCAAAGATGCAAAAGTTGCGGTATGCTTCAGTAAGTATTTATATCCATTATATTAAAATAAATGTATGAGAATTCATGCAGAGAGAAGAAAGCTAATAGAAATGGTCCTTTATAGCTTTAGGTTCTCCTCACACTGTGTCAAGCTTGGACCAGATTACTCTGAAAGAGATCGATATGCCCATTCTTCCACAGGTAAGTACATTGGACTGAATGGGAGAAGGTTAGATGGGTTCAGATACAAGAGAGTTACAGCAAAACTCGGTTATAATGAAGTCATTAGGACCTATGAAATTACTACGCTATATCCGTAATTCGTTATAACCGTATAAGAAATTCATAAAATTTGTATAGCTGGGGATCCAAGATGACTTCGCTATATCCGTAAATTCGCAATATCCGTGTTCGTACTAACCGAGTTTTGCTGTATTAAAATAGATACCATATTAGAATTAAAGATTGGCATAATTTTTACCTAAAGGTTTTGAAAGTTTTTTATTTTTCCCAATTTCAGTATTGGTAATCTTGTAAAATTAATTTAACAAAATAAATTATCTTTCGAATGCTTTAATAATATTATACATTAAAACTTTATTTTGAACACTATGGCATAGAGAATTAACTTTGGAAATACATGTATTTTAAGAATCAAGATTATTAAGGTTAACAAGATAAAAAAATAAAATTCTAAAATCATAGCTCTAGAAAAGTTGATGAAATAACTTGAGTTTTAATTCAGATAGCTGAGCAGACAGAGTTGCCTCCTCTTGATGAGCAGAACATACAAGCCCTGCTGAATGAGTCAGCTAGAATGGACACTCTCCATCATGTTGACACATCACTTCAGCCTGATGTTGCTATTCCTGTGGGAGAGAGGTAATTAACAGTTTATCACCTGACAAATCACACCAGGCTAATTTTGCTAATATTTTCATTTTAGGTTTAAACCCTTGCATTAATAGGAAGTCTTTGCAAAACTTGAGAAAAAATATTCCGCAACATCATTGTACTCCTAGTCTGCAAATGGTTCCACAAAAAATCCGCAATATGATTATTTACGACTGGCCATTACATTTTTGTTTCACATAAAATGTCATTAGGCTTGATATTTTCTAGCTCTGTAAAGGCATCAGAAGCATTTATCAGTCTCTCTCCTCAAAAGACAACCAAGGATGCAAAAGAACTTGAAGAACAGATTATGTCACCCAAAGAAAAGACCCCCCGAGTACTGACAGAGGAACCCCTCCCAGAGGCCCCACCAGCTGTCCGTGAACTTCGACCTAGGTCACAGCCAGAGGTCACCCTAATGCCCCCACCTGAGGAGGAACCTCATAGGAGTACAAGAAAAGTAAAATTAGTTCTTGCTTCATGCAGTTA